TCTCGTTTGCGAGACATTCATGTCTTTGGGTTTTCAGGAGAGGGGGACATTTCTTCTTCATATTTTTGAAATTTTTTTGGGAGTAATACTTGCCGTCTGGTTTACTTTGGTTTGGCTTGGCTGCTTGCCAGACACATAAAGGCAGGCGAATACACAGACAGCCAACCATCCAGACAAACAATGTCTACGGCTGTCTGGCTGACTGCTGCTGCTGCCATATTCCGTATAATTCTATGCCACCAAAAATAAAACGTTTGTTTGAATTTTTGCAACCAATATAACTATGTCTTTAATAAGCAGCACGTGTTTTCGCAATGGCTTACAATATGAGTGTGTATGTGTGTGTATACGAGATATTTTTTGTGTCAATGTGTGGGTATAGAATTTTGCAGAATTTTTTTCTTTGCGTGTGTCAGTGTATGGGTTTATTTTTTTGTATTTTTTTTTGTTTTTTGAAGTAACTATAATTTTTCTTTTGTTGTTCTCATTTTTTTATTCGGTTATATGTCCTTTTCCTCTGCGTTTTCGCGTGTGTGTGCGTGCTTTTTTGTTTACAGTGCGTGTCGCATGTCGAGTTCAGGGGAATTGGATTATTGACAGACATTTCGTTTTCATGGCATGCGACACCATTAAATCTGAATGTTTATGAAAAAATCAGGCACCGCCATTTATTGTTGATGCCAGGAGATTTCCGGGGAATGAAAATAAAAAATATATATTTATTTTTATCGGAAAATTATACAGAATTTGGAGTTACTTTTTGGAAAATACATGAAATTGAATTTTATTATGGATATTATATTTAATTTATAAGTTTTTTTCCTATTTGACTTTGAAAACTTATTTATAGAATTAAAAGTAATTTTGCTAGGTCACATGTGTGTGTGTGGCATATGATACCCATGTAGTGTTTGTTGGCGTATAATCAATAAATAAAAACATATATTTACATTACGAATACGTCTGGATTACTGAAGAACTTATTTAAACTTAAATAAATTCGGCACCTATTGCTACTACTCATAGGGCGTTTGGTATTGCAATTGGTCCAAGGTTTGGGAAGGTTCCCATATAGTTCCATTATTCGGCATTATTAGCAGATTTTTGAAACAAATTACCTGGAATTTGGTTTTTAGAGGTCACATAATTTATATAAGAATAAAATATTTCTACCAAAAATTACCAGTATTGATCCACTATTTTGAATAGCCCCCCAATTTGGGTATTTTGTGGAGTTTAGGTCTCAATGGGTAGAAAATCTCCATAAAATATTTTTTATCAATTTTGCCTCATGTTTTCGTGTAGACCACATATAACAACTTAACCCAATTTTCGGTATTTTACGGATTTCGGAAAAGTGTTGAACAGAATTCGTCTAATCCAGTCATTCGTACCCATATACGCTACCGTAACTGTGAGTCGTTTTTAATGGTGAATTCTCAGTTACGCTCGCACACACTTGCTCTCAATTTAATTTTGCCCAACACTGATCTAATCTTTATACCCTTCACCACACTATGGTAGTGGGTATTAGGTCTTTGTGCAACAGATCAAAGGAGATAGACCCATGTTTCCTTTTTATACCCTTATCCTTTAGGCTAATGAGGGTATATGCACTTTGATACGATGAAAATGTGCCGCATTGAAATATTGGTTTTAGACCCCATATTTCTTTGGGCCAAATCCGTTTCAGAAAATTTGGAGTCGATTTACACATTTCCGTCCGTCCGTGCGTTGTCCGTCTGTCTGGCTGGTAGGGAATAATCTATTTCATCCAAACTTTGCACATCTTACCATTTCTTCCAAACTTAGTTTAAGTTCGAAAATGGGGAATATTGGTCCACTCCCTCTCGTACTCCTCCATCCCCAAGAAATGGTCAAAATTTTGCTAATAATAAAATGCAAACGCACTCTCCGATTTTAACGAAACTTTGTACAACCTATAATCTTTACCAAGCCTAGACCAAGTAGGAAGATGGAACCCATTGGTCCACCACTTCAGATACCGACCCCACAAAGGTTAACATTTTCAATACTTACAAATCCAATATTAGGTTTAATAAAATGTCCGATTTGAACCAAACTTTGCACAACCTATTATCTTTTCCAAGCTTAAATCAAGTTTGAAGATGGAGCCCATTGGTCCATCGATTCTGATACCTCCCCCACAAAATGGTAAAAATTGTGCTAAAAATTAATTTTATAATAAAATGCAAACGGACTATCCAATTTTAACGAAACTTTGCACAAACTATTATATTTACCAAACTTAGTTCTGGTAGGAAGATGGAACTCATTGATCCACTACTTCTGGTATCTCCCCCATAGAGGGTCAACATTTATAAATTTAATATGAGGTTAATGGAATGTCCGATTTGAACCAAGCTTTGCACAACCTCTTATCTTAAACAAGCCTTGATCAAGTTGGAAAATGGGACCCATTGGTCCACTCCTGCTGGTACCTCCCGACAGAGGTTCAAAATTTTTAATATTTGTAAATCCAATATCAGGCTAATTCGATGTTAGATTTTAACCAAACTCTGTACAACCTCTTATCTTAACCAAGCCTAGATCAAGTTAGAAAATGGGACCCATTGGTCTACGCCTTCTAGTACCTCCCCCAAAAAGGGTCAACATGTTCAATATTTACGAATAAAATGTCCGATTTGAGCCATACTTTGCACAATCTATTATCTTTATTAAGGCTAGATCAGGTCTGAAAATGAGACCACTTGGTCCACTACTTCTGGTTCCTTCCACACAAATGGTCAACACCCTCCGCAAACCATAGGGTTAGGGTTTATATCTGTCGGCATATTGTGAAAATCGGTTCAGATGTAGATATAGCTCCCAAATATATTTTCGTCCGATTTTATGTAAATGATAATGAAGTCCCTATATTTCTCTCGATTTACACGAAATTGTGCATAGCATTAAGCATATAATGACATGTGCTAAGTTTCATGAAAATCGGTTCAGATTTAGATATAACTCCCATATATATTTTCGTCCGATTTTTAATAAATGGTGCACCAAAGTCCCTATATTTCTTTTGATTTACATGAAATTTTGCATAGCAAAATTAATTTGGTCTTGAATGAGGTTTGCTTAGTTTCATGAAAATCGGTTCAGATTTAGATATAGCTTACATATATATTTTCGCCCGATTTTATGTAAGTGGTGCACCAGGGTCTTTATATATCTTTTGATGTCCATGAAATTTAGCATACCGTACTAAATTGAGTGTAGAATGATGTGTGCTGAGTTTCGATGAAATATGTTCAAATTTAGATATAGCTCCCATATATATGTTCGTCCGATTTTAAATAAATGGTGCACCAAAGTCCCTATGTTTCTCTCGATTTGCACGAAATTTGGCATAACGTACGGAATTGAGTCTCGAATGATATGTGCTAATTTTTGTGAAAATCGGTTCAGATTTAGATATAGCTCCTATATACACTTTCGCCCGATTTTTTGTAAATGATGTACCATAGCCCCTGTATTTCTTTCGATTTTCTCGAAATTTTACACAGCATACTGAATTGAGGCTGGAATGGCTTGTGCTAAGTTTCATGAAAATCGGTTCAGATTTATATATAGATCCCATATATAGTCTGGTCCGATTTTATGTAAATGGTGCACCAAAACTCCTATATAAATTTCGATTTGCACGAAATTTTGTACAGCATACTGAATTGAGGTTAGTTAGCTAAGTTTCATGAAAATCGGTTCAGATTTCGATATAGCTCCCATACATATTTTCATCCGATTTATGGTACATGGTGTACCAAAGTCCCTATATATCTTTTGATTTACACGAAATTTAACATAGCATACTGAATTAAGTCTAAAATGATGTGTGTTAATTTTCGTGACAATCGGTGTATATTTAGATATAGTTCCCATATAAAGTTTCGTCCGATTTTATGTAAAATATAGGTATAGATCCTATATTTTTTTCGATTTGCAAGATCCGGCTTTAAATTTTTCATTAAAAAATTCTCCGTATCGAACTTTTTATACCCACACCCTGAAGTGGGGTACACATACTTGATCAATAAAGTTTTCTTTGATATAGAAATTTAATTTGGAATTTAAATATACCCCACATATTTGTCATGGACCATATTATAACTTATGCTACCCACTGTTTCCGCAAGAAAATGAAAAGAAAAAAATCCGATAAAGGTAAAGATTTCTATGACTCTGGTCGAAAGGTAACAAAGTTGCCCCCCTTAATTCGTGTAACATGAAATATAAAATTCTCCTTTGAGAACGATCCGAGATTTGTTGAAATAAATTATTATCTTGATTATTGCCCTGGTAAGGCAAGTCATGACGGAGGTTGGTTGTTTCTTTTGGACTGTTTATTTTTGTTTTCTTTTTTCGCCTAACCTTGGTGGTTAAAGTAACAACATCCTTTTGGTGGCTGTTGCTGCTAAACTTCTTCGAAGACGATATATTTTCTTCGCCAACAACGTGAAGAAGGGAGGCTCACATCACTGAAATTCATCGATAAAGTTTGATTCGACTGCTGCTGCTTCGTTAAGAGGACGATAAAAATAAACGTTATGGTTTTCAACAGACGTTGTGGCGAAGGCTGTTGAATTTTTCGAAGTTTGACAGGCTGCCGGCGGAAGAAAAGAAGAAACACGACGTGTTACAAATATCCTGTAAATGTTTCCCCTTTTTCGTTTAAGTAATTTCACAGGATGTCATATCCTTGGGGCATATTTATGTGGTAATATTTACAAAATTGCCATTTAATCAGCTTCATGTTGTGTGTGTGTATCCCTTATTTATTTATTTATTCATTTTGTGGTCTTCGGCAGATTTTCAGAAGAAATCAACAACTTTTTAATTTATTTTTTCCTTTTTGACGGAAAATTTATTTTTATATTGAAATTTATTTTTTTGTAAAGATTGCAAAAGTGAACGCGTTTAAGTCTGTATACAAAAAATTAAAATTATTTCCGGCAATTAATTTTCAAATTTCCATCGAAAATAAAACGAAAATTCCGCAATATTGTCGCGTTTAAGCAAAACGTCTAATCGAACGTATTGGCAGGAAGACAAAGCGGTAGTGGCCCCGTTAAGATTTCGATCGTTGGCGGTGGTCAAAGGGGTTCGAAAGTTTGGCGACGTGAACGTATCGAAATGACAAATGATCCAGATTTGGATGATTGTGCTTTTCTATCAGGTAACAAAATTTTGGAAAATAATTTTTAATGGATTTAAATAAAAAATACATTTTAAAATTAAAAAAAAAATAATAATAACATTTTTGCAATACATATTTTCCACCATCCGGTGGATTTTTTAAAGGCACTACAAGGCATGGATTTATTAAAGAACACCAAAGCGTAGATTTTTTGAAAAAAAATAGTTTTTCAAGGATCCACCAAAGCGTAGATTTTTTGAAGAAATAGTTTTTCAAGTATACAAACAAGCGGGGATTTTTTAAAAAATAGTTTTTCAAAGATACCAACAGGCGTGGATTTTTTAAAGAATATTTTTTCAAGGATCACACAAGGCGTGGATTTTTTAAAGAATATTTTTCAAGGATACCAACAGGCGTGGATTTTTTAAAGATTAGTTTTTCAAGGATACCAACAGGCGTGGATTTTTTAAAGATTAGTTTTTCAAGGATACCAACAGGCGTGGATTTTTTAAAGATTAGTTTTTCAAGGATACCAACAGGCGTGGATTTTTTAAAGATTAGTTTTTCAAGGATACCAACAGGCCTAGATTTTGCAAACAATAGATTTCCAAGAATACCAACAGGCATAGATTTTTTAAAGAATATTTTTTCAAGGATAGTAACAGGCGTGGATTTTTTAAAGAATATTTTTTCCAGGATACCAACAGGCCTTGATTTTTTAAAGAATATTTTTCCAGGATACCAACAGGCCTTGATTTTTTAAAGAATATTTTTTCAAGGATAGTAACAGGCGTGGATTTTTTAAAGAATATTTTTTCCAGGACACCAACAGGCCTAGATATTTTAAAGAATAGTTTTTCAAGGATACCAAAAGGCCGAGATTTTGTAAAGACTAGTTTTTCAAGGATACCAATAGGTGTGAATGACATTGTCGAAGCCTTCTATTCCTTAAAGACTTTGAATCTTTTATATCTTAAAGTCTTTGACGAGACCTTCTACACTTTAAAGACTTTGACGGGATCCTCTATACCTTAAAGACATTGACGGGACCTTCTATACTATATAGAATACCTTGGCGGGACCTTCTATGTTATATAGGATACCTTCATGAGTACGTCAATACTTAGATCTTCTGAGTATAAAGTTATTTACACTTAAAAAAAAGGCCTGTACCTAGAAGACATTTACGATAACTTCTATACTTCGAAGATGGAACCTTCTATACATATAAGTTCTTGACGAGATATTCCATACTTAGATCATGGCCAAACCTTCTATACTTGGAAGATTTACTTACTTAGCTGGCTTGTGGCAGAACTTTCGTTCCATAAGCCGAGCTTAGAAAAGATTTCCAGGCGCGTCGGTCTTTTGAGCAGTTTTTCCAATTTGAAAGACCATTTTCGGCGATGTTGTCTTCGACTTGATCTTTCCAACGCATTCTTGTCCTTCCCCTTCTGCGTGAACCATCAGCTGGTTATATGCCTTCTGGGCTAGGGCATCTTCATCCATTCTCACAACATGACCTAGCTAACGTAGTCGCTGCAGCTCAATACGTCTAATAATGTCGATGTCCGAGAATAGAGAATACAACTCATGGTTCATTCGACGGCGATATTCACAGTCAACGCAGATCGGACCATAGATCCTTTGGAGAATTTTTCTTTCAAACACTTTAAGAGCTGCCTCATCTGCTTGCGCAGGAACCCATGCTTCAGATCCGTATAACAGCACGGGTAGTATCAGCGTCTTGTAGAGTGTGAGTTTGGTCTGGCTGGAGGTGGCCTTGCTTTTGAGTTGTTTGCTCAGACCATAGTAGCATCGGTTGGCCATCACTAACCTTCTCCGAATTTCAAAACTTATGTCATTCGTTTTATTTATGGCGGTACCAAGGTATATAAAATCTTTGACTACCTCGAAGCTGGAGTTCTCAAGTTCCACAGTTGGTCCGAGTCTACTGGACGTCTTACGCATTGATAACATCAGCTTGGTCTTCTCGCCGTTTACTACCAGACCCACTTTGGCTGACTCCTTCTCAATTTGTTCAAAGATGTCGATGTCATCAGCGTAGACGAGTAACATGTGTTGTTTGGTGTACAGAGTTCCATTTCTGTTCACTTTTGCCTCTCGTGTGACCTTTTCCAGCAGGATGTTAAAAAGGTCACACGACAAACTATCACCTTTTCTGAATCCTCGTTCGGTATTAAAGGGCTCCGAGAGGGCTCCTTTCCGACTTTAACTGTTGATCTTGTTCCTGTTAAAGTTATCCTGCATAGCCGAATTAATTTTGTAGGAATGTCAAACGCAGACATGGCTTTGAACACCACTGAACGGATAGGTCTGTCGAATGCGGCTTTATAGACGATGAATAGGTGGAATGTGTCTTTGAAGACTTAGACGAAAAATTTAATACTCAGAAGACCTTGACGAAAGCTTTGATATTTGGAAGGCCTTGACGAGATCTCCTTTACTTAAAAGCCCTTTGACAAGATTTTATATACTTAGAGGACCTTGACAAGTTCTTCGATGCTTATTTAGAAGACCTATTCTTAGAGGCCCGAGGAAGTCTATAGTTAGAAGACCTTGTCAAGGACTTCTACAGACATTTTCGAGGACTTCAATATTGAGAAAACCTTACTTAGAGGACTTTGACAAGTTCTTCGATGCTTAAAAGACCTTGACTAGACCTTCTATATTTAGATGGCCTATTCTTAGAGGCCCGAGAAGGTCTATAGTTAGAAGACCTTGTCAAGGACTTCTACAGACATTTTCGAGGACTTCAATATTCAGAAGACCTTGTAGGGGTCTTCCGTATTTAGATGAAGGTATTCCGTAGTAAGGAAAACTTGTTGAGATCTTTTATAGTAAGAAGACTTTGTCGATGTCATCTATAGGTAGAAAACTCTGTGTAGCTCTTCTGTAGTTGGATGGCCATCTCGAGGTCTTTGTGGTTAGAAGCCTTGTCGAAGTCTTCTATAGTTGAATACCTTCTCGTGGCCCTCCAAAGTAAGAATCTCCATAAGGACTTCGATAGTTAGAATAACTTGTAGAAGTTATGTGTAGTTATATGACTTACAGAAGCCCATATCAGTGCAATATTTGAATGGTAGAACTTCTCGAGAAGTTAATCGAAGTATTTTATGGATTATTTGTCTAGTGTATATAAAATTTAATATGTTAGCCTTCTGTAGATAAAATACCTCTCGGGCGTCTCTTCCGCACTAAAGACCTTTTCATGGTATTCTGCACATTCCAGAATTACTCGAGATCTTTTGGAGGCAAAATAACATGTCAAGGTCTATATATAGGACCTTCTCGATATGTATATAGGACCTTCTCGATATCTTCCATACAAGAAGAGATGTTCCTATAAATAGAATCCTTTTATGGTAAAATCTATTCCCGGATTCTATCAGGTTACTTACTCAAACTTTTATCATAAAAAATGCTCCTTTTTTATGATTGTCAGTTTATACTTTTAACTTTTCAACAAATTGACTTCATCATGTTCTGTAGCCACATAAAAACAAACCATTAATATTTAATTAAAGTCTCTAGCTCTCATCCACACTCTCTATCTACCACCGTCTGAGATGTTGACTTTGTGTATATAAAACATTATTGTTGTAATTGTTGTAGCTGTTGTTTGTATTTCATTGTATGTATTATTATTGTTGTTCATTCATTGTTACAGGTGGTGAATCCAGCGGTGGCCGACAAACACGCAATGGTGTTGCCGTCTGTTCACAAAAACGTGCCCTCCTAGTGGCCGGTGTGGTGTTAGGCTCACTCCTGCTAACAGCTTTAATTATAGCCTATGCTGGACCAACAACGGGTAAGAGATTTTGTTGTTTTTGTTTTTGCTGGTTTTTATTATGGTTGTGTTTTTATTTTGTTGTTGCCATTCTCTGAACATTCATACTACCATTAGGGATCAAAGTCCTGTACCTGAATCGTAAATAAAATGAAAAATAATAAAAAAAAAGAACGATTCCCCAAAAAACAAATATTCTACACCGTCATTCAAGTTCACTTCGTTTGTTTCATTGTTTTTGTTTTGTTTGCTTTGCTTTCATCCGGTGTAGAGTGTTTTTCTGTTTGTTTTCCATTTCCTGTTTTTTTTGGTTTTGTTTTATTTTCTTTTTAGAGTTTATTTCATTAGTCTAACAAATTGTATTTATTTAATATTTCTTTTTTTTTTGGTTTTTATTGCACAGCAATTTCATAAAAATTAATTAATTTTTTTAGAAATTTATGGTAAAGGGAACCCTTTTTGGGTTTTATTAAAAAAAAAATAAAAAAAACACAACTGACGACATATGCTTAATTATGAACGATGGGTCATAAAATGTCCTTGAATTAATTCGAACTTTTAGCATATTGAAGAAAATGATAATCATCCGACACGGTGGCTGCTGGCTCGTAAAATATATTTTATTTGTACCTTAAAATTTCAAAAATAAACCAGTGAGCGGAGCAGTATAGTCGGACGGGGCCGACCATACGATACCCTACACAACTACCACGGAACTCAAATTTTCTGCGGATGTTTATTTCGAGACTGGGCAATATTTCGTGATATTTGCACCCTCTTGCCCGATTAGAGGTAAACAGCACCTCTTCCTCACACTGACATATTTTTCCGAATATTACGAGTATTCAGTACTGCTATTGTCCAGATTCCCTTCACCGTGGGTTGTGTTGTGATGTTCGGCTTTCATTTGAGGTCTATAGATCGACTCGAAAATAACACAAAAAATAAGTTTTCGGTCCACTTCATTCCAAAATTATTATCTGATCATCACCGAAAATTATAGGCGTTGTCCTTGACCATAACAGGAACCTCATGGAACATTTCAAAGCGATCAGCGCTATAGTTCCGCTCTCCAGAGTGATAATGGGTTACTAAATAATATACGAATACGGAGATACCTGTAAATATTTAGGTGTAACTCCCACATCCGAGCACATACAACAATATAATTGGTCTTAATTTAAAGGTCAACCACTCCTCTTGGATATAATATCAACTTTTCGGGTATATGTCCTTCAGGGGTAAATATATACGCCATAGAATACAAATTTTGTAATTTTTCACACAAAAGTCAGGGTCCATTTGACCCGCTAAATATTGACCAATCTTTCTCCAAACAGGCATTCTTATTCTTTGGCCCGATCCACTTCTCCATGCAAAATTTCACGATGTTCGGACCATTGGTGCGGCCTCTGCAAAATTTCACGATGTTCGAGCGACCAGAAAAACCGACAAAAATTTAGTATTTGGTCCATTTCATCCCCTAAATATTAACCGATCTTTCCCAAAAACAATAGGGGTCTTCATTGGCCAGAACCCATCCTACATGCAAAATTTCGTGAAGATTGGTCCATAACTGTGGCCTGTATCGTGTTTACAAATTATAATGGACAGACGGACGGACGGACGGACGGACGGACGGACACACATGTCTAGATCGACTCAGCTAGTCGAGATATGACGATCGGTATACTTAAAGGTGGGTCTAGGACCAATATTTCGCGGCGTTACAAACTTTTGGGGCTGCACAAAGCTATAATACCCTGACAACATAGTTGTGTAGGGTATAAAAAGTTGCCGGTTTTTTTAATCCATTATGCCTCCAATTACCGTTTTCAAAAATAGAATACATTTTTTTTATTAAACCGAACATCAGATTCCCTTCAAAGTCTCAAGGGCAAAAAACACTGCCGATCCACAATTTCGCTTCTCGCATGGCTCAGAAATAGATTTTTCTGGTCAAAACTTCAATTTTTTCGTCACCGATTTTCAATTAAAATATGAAATTTGATAGAAACTATATTGAAACTCTGGAAACCACAAAATAGGTAAACATATGTAATGTGGATGTGACTTGCTTCTAAAAACGAAAAATTGTACCCATTTGGGAAAGTACCCATTTTTGTTTTAGAAATTAACACCTAGTCTATTGGATAATGAGAACATTTAATACTCAGACGACCTTGACGAAAGCCTTGATATTTGGAAGGCCTTGACGAGATCTCCTTTACTTAAAAGCCCTTGGAAAATGTGCCGCATCGATGTATTGGTTTTTGCCCCATGTTTCTTTGTACCAAATTCAGACAATTGGTAGTCGTTTACAAAGTTTCTTCCGTCCGCTTGTCTGTATGTCTAGGTAGGCGGCGGGTACCTCCACTATAAAATGATCAACATTTTGCTGCTCAGAGAATCCGCGTAAAAACAAACTTTCCACAACCTAATAAATTTAACCAAGCCACTCCTTCTAGTACCTCCCCCACAAACGGTCAAAATTTTTATACCATCCACCATAGTATGGAGGGTATGTTAGTTTTATGTCTTTGTGTATATGTTTGTAACAGACAAAAGGAAACGAGATAGACACATGGTTCCTTTTGAGAATATGCTTAGAATCACTTTCTGCGTCCGTCCATCCGTCCGTCCATGTATTTTTATGAACATTTATGATTCGATTAGGATGAAATTTGGCACACTCTTATTTGGCCCAAGGACGAACCCTATTGAAATTGGAGAAAATCCCTTCAGATTTATATGTTTTCGTCGGATTTTAGCAAATGGTGCACCAAAGAATCAAATTTACACCGATTTGAACAACATACTGAAGTTAGGTTAGACTAAGGTGTGCCAAGATTTATTGAAATCGATTCAGATTTAGATATAGCTCCCATATATATTTTCATCCGATTTTAGGTAAATGGTGCAGCAAACTCTTCGTGTTTGTTCGATTCACACCAAATTGTTCACAACATTCTAAAGTTAGTAGAGCCCAACATGTTTTAAGGTATAAAATTGAGTCAAGAGTACTGCGTTTTGTAAAAATTAGCGCAGATGCAAAAATTGCTCCCATTTATATTTTCGATTGGCTTAATACAATAAACAGTGCACCAAATAATGAACTGGAGTCCAATTGAGATTAAATTTTGTGTTGTAGCATAATGAATAGTTTGATTTAAATCGATTTACATATATCGTTATATGTGACCTACCAGCAAAAGTGGACCGATAATTATAACTTTTAGGTACCAAATTGGAACCCATTGTAGCAAATTTTCGCTTGAAATCGCGTACTCAAGAACCCCAAAATATCGAAAAGGCTCATCTTCGAACTTGACCTGCCTGCAGAAAAAATACAACTCTATGCTAAATTGTGGCGATCTGTCTCAATTCGCTTAGATAGTAGAGTGATTATAACAAACAAACAACAGACGAAATTATTATTTCGATGAGATATTAACGGGGAAAAAATGCATATAACCTCCATACTATGGTGGAGAGCATAAAAAGGTTCAAATGTACCCATTTATTAATCGTATATTTAAGCCGATTTAAATATGGACAAAATTTTAATTTGGTCCAATTTCATGTCAATGGTCCTTCAAAAATGCGAGTTATGTTATGATGCATCTTTTTAATATAGGCAAAGTTGTACAGGTATCATATAGTCGGTCCCGTCCGACTTTACTACTTTATTTACTTTTTATACCCTTCACGACACTGTGGTTCAGGGTATTATGCCTTTGTGCATATGTTTGTAACAGGCAAAAGAAAACGAGATAGACACATGGTTCCTTTTGAAAATATGCATAGAATCACTTTCTAAGTCGATTTATGAATGTCCGTCCGTCCGTCTGTCTGTCCATGTTAAATTGTAAACAAAGTACAGATCGCATTTATGATCCGAATTGGATGAAAGTTGGCACAGGTCACTTATTTACTCAAGGACGAACCCTATTGAAATTGGGAAAAATCGGTTCAGATTTATATATAGCTCCCATATATAGATTCGTCCGATTTGATGTTAATTGATGTTAATTGTGCACCAATGTCCCTATATATGATTCGATGTGCACGAAATTTGGCACAGCGTACTGAATTGGGTCTAGAATGATGTGTGCAAAGTTTCGTGAAAATCGGTTCGAATTTAGATATAGCTCCCATATACATTTTCGTCCGATTTGATGTTAATGGTGCACCAAAGACTCTATATATTCTTCTATTTGCACGAAATTTGGCATAGCGTACTGAATTGAGTCTAGAATGATGTGTGCAAAGTTTCGTGAAAATCGATGAAAATCGATTTGTCTACAATGATAATTACGAGGTTATGCCTATGGGTGACGAATGTGTCGATATATAGAGTTCCACAGGCGATCCACCATTTTCGAGCTTACCTTAATTTAATTTTTCCAGTTGTAATTCTCAATTTCTTCAATAACATTTTCATTCTATAGAATACCATTTAAGAAGACCATCCATTCGTATATGACCCCCAAGGGGTTTCTCTCTACAAAAGAGTTCCCATGTGCGTCCCATCTATACAGGAACACTTAAGACGATTGTCTTCACCGCCGTCTCCCAAGGAAATTAGTCTATCATAAATGAAAAAACCATCAATTTATAGAACGACTGTACGGGTCTGATTTATATAGAAGTCTCACTAAAGACCATCGAAGTTTCAATGCTGAAGTTCTATAAGACTTCAGCTCGTCAATTGATAAACTCCTTGGCTCTCCACGTCATCGTTATGACGACTGTCTCCCTTATTTGACCCACATTTACTAAATACCTTACACACTTAGCTAAGTTGTGACTAAACATTTGTTCCATAAGCCGAGCTTAAAAAATATTTCCAGGCGCATCGGTCTTGTGTGCAGCTCTTGCCTTTTAAAGCCCAAGTTCCGAAATGTTGACTTCCACTTGATCTTTCCATCGCATTCGTTGCCTTCCCCTGTTATGTGAACCATAAATTGGCTCGTTTTTATATGCCTTTTGATCTGGGGCATCCTCATCCATTCTCACAT